CTTCTCCATATGGCGTCGGCCCAGGGGCTGCAGCTGCGGGCCAAGGGGACTTACTGCTGCTCAGCCACGACGCGCGTTGGCCAGGGTGCTGGGCAGGGTGTGCTGCTGGAGAGCTGCAGCCCACCCAGCTGTCCAGCTGGTTACAGCTTTGGGCAGGATTTTAAGTGGGATGAGATTTGCAGGAGATTATTTCCTGGATCTGTCTGGCCAGCAAAGATTAGGGTGCTCTGACAGAGCTAATTACTCTAACAAGCATCTGCTGTTAGTCTGCTGGGCTGGTTTGCAGCAGGCAGGGAGCAGAGAGCTGGAGCATCTAGTGAAGCCGTCAGGGTATCCTGGGTGGAGCGGGACCTCCTGGCCCAGCTCCCTGGCACCCTGCACGCCCTGGGCTTTCTCGGGTGCTGCTCCTGCAAGTGTGCCCCAGGACCTACCCACCTCCTTGAGGCAGCCAGGACTGCCCAGGCTCAGGCTGTGCCGGTGGAGGAGAATGGTGTCAGTGAGGTCCTTTCCGCTGGCCAAGAACCCTCTTGGTCTCAGCTGTGGAGCGCCAGACACGCAGCTGGCGCTGGGCCAAGCAGGAGACAGACAATGTCAGGTCACATTATAAAGGAGCACAGAGGAACAGTGGTGGGCAGGGGGCCCTTGACACCCTTCCCTGCCCCCCCCCCAGCTGTCCCAGGAGAGCCAGCAGCCTGTGGTCCACCAGTGGCACCTTCAAAATGAGTCAATGCAAGCAGCTCAGAGCATCCTGCAGACCGAGGGGCTACTGCTTTGGGGTGTGGGACACACTGTGGGATGCAGTGCAGACCATTTGGGGATTGCACAAGATTTATTACAGGATATTCAGGGGAGGAACTACGGCAGGGATCAAAGTGGCTTGGAGAGGAACAAGAAAGGGAAAAGAGAGGGATGAAGGGATGACAGAGGCTGGTCACCTGTAAGCAGGGTGTTGGTCAGTATGCTTGCCTGGCCACATCCGGCCCTGATCACCACGGTCTCTCCTGTCTTCTACTAAACTCTATTTCTAACTATTTTCTATGGTGAGGGGACTGTATGCTGTGTGCGTGTGTGTGGTAGTGCCAGCAATGGGAGCAGGACCACAAGTTGCAGGGACTGGCGAGCCAGGGGTGCCAGCACCGGTGGAAGTGAGGGTGCTCAGGTCACTGTGCCATCACTAGCAAGCACCACCCTGGATTTGCCAGCAAGTAGGTTCAGCACCTTGGGAGCCAGGAATCACAGAATCACAGAATCACATAATGGTTTAGGTTGGAAGGGAGATCAGCTCTCTGGAGCCCTCTCCAGCCCTCTGGAGATCAGCTAGTCCAACCTCCCTGCTCAAGCAGGGTCACCTAGAGCACACTGCCCAGGATCACATCCAGATGGGTTTTGAAGATCTCCAGCAAAGGAGACTCCACTACCTCTCTGGGCAACCTGTGCCAGGGCTCTGTCACCCTCACAGGGAAGAAGTTTTTTCTCAGCTTCAGGTGGAACTTCCTGTGGTTCAGTTTGTGCCCGTTGCCTCTTGTCCTGTCGCTGGG